GCCATTTTCAGATAAGTCATATATTTTTGGTCATTTAATAATTCTTCTTCTCTAGTTACCCAGTCCTCAAATGTACCTCCATCACTTGAACTTGATTCACTATCATTCTTAACAACTCTCTTTGGTACATTTTGTATATCTTCTGTCGCTATTTGCTTTGTTGTCCTGCCTGCACTTTTTCAAATGATACCTTCTCTTGAGTCTTCCCCTTTTTGAGCGCAGCTATTTCATCTTTCTCTGGAGTGTCGGTTAGTATTCGTGACTTTCCTCTTGCTCTTCCTAACTTATTTTTGCGAACAGGTGCCTTTGGATAGGGTCGCAACATTTCAGATGTAATAGAACTTCCTAAAGTTCCTGCTTGACGAATATTTGAGGTAGAAGGAGTAAAGACTTCCATTTCATTAACTTTAGTTTTAGTTTGTTCCCCGTCCTGTTCAACATTGACTTGCTCCCGACTGTCAGTAAGCTGGTTTAAAGGACAATCCGTTACATGCGAAGGCAGAAAATCATTATTTTCAAAAATATTTTCATTGACGGGATAGAGACCGCTCACGTCAACTCCCTTCTGGATATTAGATGTAATAAATGCTATTGGAAATGCCTTACCTGCAAGTTCAGCTATATCGTAAATCGTTACAGGATGTCCAGGGTGCATAATCATCCACTCGCTACAGGCGGTATTATAGAGGGTTTTCATCGGTCCAAAAACTGTTCGATCGAGTGGTTGCATTTTGTGGCTGGTGTGAGGATGACTATCGGTAGAATGCCATTCTTCTTACAGAAATTAATGACACTTACATTCACGTGGCTATCGAAATTATCGAAAAGTAGTATAACTGGATTTTCAACTGTTGGTTTCACATGATTTTTAAAGTGTTGTAGGTATTCCAAAAACAATATTTCGATTGACCAGCCGAACAGATTTGCACCTCCTATAGTTCCAACTGGACAACCTTTTAGCATATGAGGCTTAAAATTAACCCTCGGAAATATCATCATTGGCGCAATATGATTTCCAATTGCATTTATTGAGGCTATCAAGGTTACATTTTGACATCGCTCTCCACTTGCCATTTGACCTAATTGTTTTATTCCCTTAGGTCCCACAATTTTTGGTGGTACATGGATAGTCGTTAACTCTGTCTCGTCACAATTCCAAAAATTTTCTGAGGTAAAATCTCTACGAGACAAGGCTTCTTTGTAGTTCTTAAAAAATGAAGATAAATTTGTTTTATTGAAGGATGTTGATTTTGCCAAACTTGTAGGTTCGGGTTTACGAAGTGATAAATTTTCATGTCTTCTAAGAAACTGCCTCAACCATTCTTTGCCAGCTATCTTTTTTTGGTCCGAAGAAGGCGGATGAGACTTGTTAGTTGCAATTGCATACTGGTATGCTAAAGTACAAACTTCCATTTTTGTCAAACCATAGTGGAGGCGTGCAGCAAATGAGAAGGTATATTTTTAAGTTATCTTTCTCTTCTCTATTAAAAACTTGTTTTACATTATTGGCAGCAACATAGAAAATTGCTGAAGCCCCCGACTGCCTGAAGGATTTTACGTGACTCATTAGCGTGGTTTTTTATAATGTTCTAGCACGTTGCTGCTTCCCTAATTGATAATTCTCCACTTATGCATTTATTTGCGGCTGCAGTTAAATCCTGGGAATTTAAATGTTATCTTTTGATACCCACTTTACTTCGCGGCATTTTAATATGGCTACCTGAAACAATAATAAAAAGTCTTTTTGGTTACAGATACACCGATTAATTTAAATAAAAGTCAAAATAATGGTAATTCGCAATAATATTGTACCTTGGTCCGGTCCAACCCAAACAGCACAGTACGTTTTAAGTACGTACAATTTTGGTACTGTACGTACATGATGTAAAATGTACGTTTTAAGTACTACACTGAGGTACATACCAGTACGTACAGAAGAGTACGTACTATTACGTCTTAAGTATGTACCATGAGAAAGAAGAGTTAAAGCATATTTATTATGTTAGGTTATGTTAACCTAACCTAATTTATTTAGTTAGGAATTTTCCACCTCGAGTACAGTTTTGATGTGATAATTCATTGCAAGACAGTTTCATTTAGATTTTTTTTACTTATTTTTGGTGTGGTTTATTTATAGTGTGGTTTCCTGTTATTTTATTCAGTCGAGTGTTTTTTGTGTCAAAAATTTAGTGAAGGTTGATGAGAATCAAGGATCGCTTAAATACTTTCTTTCTTATTTTTAAAAGAATAAAAATTGAAATTATTTAAAATATATAATATATATATATACATATATATATATATATATATATATATATATATATATATATATATATATATATATATATATATACACACTCAAAAATGTTTTGCATATTATCTGTAACGCCACTGAACGTTTCCAATTTGAAATTTTTTGCACTGATTTTTTTTTTTGTCTACTAAAATAATGTATTTTACTGCTTGTTTTTTGTTTCTTAATCGTCGCAGAGATTCTTAGAATTCATATTGTGTTCATCAGTTTTCGAAAACCGATATTTGTAAAAATTGGTTTGCGTTTTATTCACTTTGTAGTAAACAATATGAATAGGCAAGTAATATCTGAGTTCAACAGGGCTAGAATCGTTACTTTGATTGAGGAAGGCCACACACAAGTCGACGTTGCTGTCCAAGTTGGAGTTAATCAGAGTGATGTGTCTCGGATTGTGAAAAAATATCGAGAGACGAATTCTGTTAGCGATCGTCCAAAAAGCGGAAGACCCAGAATTACTACCAATGTCCAAGAACGATTTTTAACGTTAACTGCCCGGAGAAACCCCTCTATGACTGCCCCAGCTATTAGAAGAGAGCTCCAGCAAGCGCATAATATTGTAATTTGCGATCAGACTATTAGAAACAGGTTACATTTGGCGAATTTATTTACAAGAAGACCATTGTTTGTACCAAAGCTTACGTTAGAACAGAAAAGGACTCGACTGGAATGGGCCAATGAACATTTACAATGGCATGACAACAGATGGGGAAAGGTCTTATTTTCTGATGAAACCAAAATTAGCCTTTTGTCGGATAATCGCCGAATTAGGATTTGGAGGAACCCAAATCGACAGGATAGACTTAACCAAGCTGTCCAAAGAGTCCCATATCAAGGTGGCTCTATAATGTTTTGGAGCGGCATCATGCTAAATAATAAAACTCCTTTAATTCCTATTGTTGGTAACATGAATGGACAAATTTATATTAATACCATTCTTAGGCCTGTTGTACGCTTGTGGCGAGGAGCTGTTGGTCCAGAATTTATTTTTATGGACGACAATGCGCCTCCCCATCATACGAGACATGTAGCAGATTTTTTAGAGACAGAAGATATCGTCAGATTACAATGGCCACCTTGCTCACCTGACCTTAATTCCATTGAACACGGATGGGATATGCTCAAAAGAAAAATTCAGTCCCGGCAGCCACCCCCAAGGACACTACAAGACCTTAGAATAGCAGCGATTGAAGAATGGGGCACCATGAACCAGAACTACGTTAATACACTTATTAGAAGCATGGGACATCGCATTCAGTCTTGCATTGATGCAAGAGGTGGAAATACGGCATATTAAGTATTAGTTCTTATATCTGTACAAATTAAAAAAAATATATTTATAATACATATTATAAATAATAATAATAAATTGTTAATTCTTTAAATTTTGTTTATTGTTTCTTTTTCAGAACAAACAATTTAATATATAATAAAGTATTTTGTTATAAAAAAAATAGATTTCACCAGATTTGATGGATAATTTTGAAAATATTACATTATGCAAAACATTTTTGAGTGTGTGTATATATATATATATATATATATATATATATATATATATATATATATATATATATATATTCACCTATATTTACTTTTATTTACATAAATTATCATAAATCATCATACCTTCAATATGTACTAGATACGTACCAGTACGTACTAGGTATGTACCATAAATTGGAAAATGTACGTCTTATGTACGTATTAAGTACGTACTTCGTACAGAAAAGTACGTACATTGTACATACTTTATGTCCCATCAGTACGTACTTAGTTTGTCTTTTGTACGTACTTGTGCTTTCTGGGAAGGTACACGACCTACCGGTGACCCAAGGTACACAACGTCACAATTTCAGCTGTTTTTTGTTGTCTAATTTTAGGTTATGCGTTTAGGCAAAAAATACATTCATGATTATCAAGCGTAAATATATATATATATATATATATATATATATATATATATATATATATATATATATATATATATATATATATATATATATATATATATATATATATATATATATATATATATATATGTATATATATATATATATATATATATATATATATATATATATATATATATATATATACATTTGAAGCGGATTTTAACAAATAACAAATCCACCACACAAATCCGTAAGTCACCACGCTACAATTTTTTGTACAAGTGTATTTAGATGCCATCTATCGCTTATATTATCAAACCACTAATTCAACCAAATCGAAGAGAAATCTGCAGTGAGTAAGAAAGAAAGTCAACTGACCCGAGGTACAAAATGGTACAACCCGGTTCGAGGTAAAACACTCTTCCCTACCGAACAGAGTGTATTTTTTGCATATTTCCTTGTACTAATGATTCAGTGGGAAAATTCGGAAAACTTATACCTAACTTAAAAATACCACTAAAAAGTGGTATGAGAGGTAGACCTGAGCGCTTAAAAAATGGGGTGACAAATAAAAGAGAGCCAGAATCATCTTCGTTGACTTATATGAATTTGGCTCTGTTTTCAAATTTTCATAAAAACATAAAATATTTTGCAACTTTATTACGAAATGCAGCACAATGTATATTTCCATTAAACTAAAAAAAATGGTTCTGCGTAGTCAACGGATATCGATCAAACATTTAGTGAAATATATAGGATTTAGATAACCCCCTAAAGCCATATAGTAATAGAATATGAGTACAGAAGACCAATTTCAAAATGTACCACAAAGTGAACAGCACACGTCACAAGACTTATCAACAGAGATGTGCATTTCAGTATTACAAGAAATGGTAGACCTACTATTAATTTTAAAATCGATAGGACACTGGCCAGATATTGACAGCGATATTCTCGAGTATGATACACTCGAACAAAGATTTAAAAAAGAAATTTATCAACATGGAAATGCTTCAGGAAGTTTGTGTCCTCAAAATTTTAGTTTCATTACATTATTTTGTACTAATCTATTAGAAGAATTAAAGTGTGAGCGGATCTATTTAAAATTTTCAAATTTAATTACTACAATACAAAAAATGCAACTAGATGAAGAATTGTTATTGAGTGAAACTTGTAAAAAAGAAGTTTATGTGAAAAAGTTGCAAGTGAGTTTAGATAGTGAAAGAGATATTTCAATACATAAACTTGTATCGTCTATGGAAACTATTGGCAAAATTAAAGATCAAATTGAAGTAAGTACCTTAAATTTTAACTATATTTAATTAATCAAAAGACTGATAGTACGCACTTATGACAAATCAAAGAATGGAAAAGAAAAGAATTTTGAAAGTGTGTAAAAATTTATTTCCCAGACGAGCAGTTTTGACTTACAAAGCCATCCTCAAAGTTATGCACAATAGACCACTAATATAAGCAACTAATTTAAAGTTTACAATTTTTAATTTGTTAAGAACTTAACAAATCTTGACTTAATAAGTCTTACTTAGCTCCCAGTCTATTTTTGATCATTTTTGTATAAAGTACATATGTGTGAGAGCAAACTGATAGGGCGATAGTTTTTTAGATAGATTATGATATTTTACTTTAAGCTAATTTAAATAAAAAACAGTAGTTAATTATATTCAAGTTTAGTAAATTAATAAAAACAAAACAATCATTACTCCAATTAATATTCTACTCAAATATATAGCAAAAACTTTAAATATAGATGATAAATTGTAATTCTATTGTTTAAATTATATCTCAGGGTTTTTTCTAGATTCTGAAATATTTTATATTCTAAATAAGGAAAATAAAAGAAATGTTAAATAAAAATTATTCAAATCAGTATATTGATCAAATGGCTTGCAAAAATTTCATTACATATACAAAAAAATAATATTAAATATTGATATCACTATGCCCTACTCTGACAAATTTGAAAACAAATGAATGATTTTCCTATACTAACTTTTTGAACCTATAAACAATTAAACAAACTTTCTCGTTCGCTAACGATAGCGGTGGTTCGACCATTTATGCATATACGAATTTTGTAAATAAAATGTTAAGATGTCTTTGTAGTGTAAGGCGTATCATGAACGATTAGAAACTGTTTAAAGCCATAGGATTAGTGAATTTGTTTATACAGATATTTACTTTTTTTTCTTAGAAATTGAACAAAATTTTAATACCTTTTATTAAGAAATGTTGATTGATGGGGTTTTGGTAGCAGTGGGTTTTTTGTAATAACATTCACATATAATTGGTAGAAAACGGCTAAAATAAGAGGGATATTTGTGCGTTCTGATTGGTTTAGAAAATCAAAAGATTGATTTGAATAAATATTGTAATTTGAAGAATCGGAGACGACACTACAATTTTTCTGAAAGGACGGAGTTTCCAAAAAGTAAATTTTGTGAAGAGTTGTGTTCTGTGTTTGTGGAAAGTTGTGTTCTGTGTTTGTGGCAAGAGGTCCAACTGTGATAGCAGGCAAAAGTCGATCAGTTGAGATATTCTTGTATCTGAAGAGAATGAGTTGTTGCTGAAGTTAGGAGTTTGAGTGGGGAGTTGAGCAAAGATGAATGCAATTTTAGAAATTTTTTTATCGAAAATGATAGGCAGAGGAGAGAGCAGTCGTATTTGAAGAAACTGGGAAGTACGAGCGAGGTGGAGAGATCACAATCGAAAGAGAATAAGTTGGAGTCAGCCGTTTTGAAAACAAAAGGTTAGTTTTGTTATTTAGTTAACAGAGACTATCAATCACGACCGTCTATTTAGATTATAACTATTTGTTTTTAATTGTTCGTTTTTCTTAATTAAAAATTAAAGTAATTATAAAATGTTTAAGTCACAAGTAAAAAAGTAAATGAAAGAATTAAATAAAATATCTTTTATTTTAATCTTGGGAAGTTTATTTACTTTTTTATTTATAATTTTGGGTGTATGATTTGATGAATGCTTGATTTTTCATTATTCTTACATATTATCGTGTATGGTATATTTTTTTCTAAAATTATAATACTTGAAAATTTTGAAAATATATAACATTTTTCTTTATAATTTCATAGCTTTCTTTGTTCATAGTTTCCTATGGTTTACTCTTTTCTCAATTGCAACTATAAAAAATATTTAAAGTCACATTTTTTGTTAAAAAATCATAAAAATATCTATACATTATATATATATATATATATATATATATATATATATAAATATATATATATATATATAAATATAAATATATATATATATATAAATATATATATATATATATATGTATATATATATATATATATATATATATATATATATATATATATATATATATATATATAAATATATATATATATATATATATATATATATATATATATATATATTCACTAGGTTCTCGGGAAGAACCTAATGATACATGTATATCACTAGGTATATATACCCCCAATATTTAAAAAAAAGAGTCTTCAACCAATGTATATTTCCTGTTCTCAAACTTGGAACAAAGAAAAACGTGGAAAAAATAGCAAAGACCCAAAGAGCCATGGAAAGGCAAATGATAAACATCAGGTTATCAGACAAGAAAAGAAATACTATATATATATATATATATATATATATATATATATATATATATATATACATATATATATATATATATATATATATATATATATATATATATATATATATATATATATATATATATATATATATATATATATATATATATTATAATGAAAACAGAAATACAATAAATTAACTTAGAAATATATACAACCAGATATACAATAAATTTATTTAAATAGTGGTTAGAGACATAATTTGTAAGTTATATACTAGATAATATTATAAAAAAATAATTATATGAGGGTATTTTTAAGAATTTAGCATAAGAATTAAGTTTAAGAAATTTTTTTTATTTTATTTTATTTAATATTTAATATGTTGACTCAGCCATGTGCTACGCAACCAAACATACACTGTAGTGTCAAAGTCAAATAGTTATTTATTTTTGGAATGTTAATTTAGAATATAATTGTGGATGTAGAATTGTAAAAATATAGTTCATATAAATGTTTAAGTTACATATAATAGTGTAGTTCTGATCTGGAGAGCCTAAAGTCAAGTAAATTATAGATAGAAAACTCTAGAAATGTCAATGGGACTGTATACATAATACATAACAGACAAAAAACCATTCCAGAATTTTCAAGTAGAAAAAATAGAATGATTCAAAGATTAATTATTGCTAGAATATTCTGGAAACAATGAAACGATATAAAAAGCCATGTAATTTGGCGAGAGGGCAGTCAGTTAGTCAGTCAGTCAGTTAGTTTGAGTTAGCAGTTTTAGTTAGTTAGCAGTCAGTTTGAGTTAGCAGTTTAGTTCAGTTAAGTTCAGTTACCAGTTCATTTATCACTTAGTAAAGTTATAATTCAAGAATTTAGTTACAAGAAGATTATTAATTGAGTTAAGATTATTAAGTCAGTTATGAGGTTATGAAGAGATTCTTAGCTAGCAGAAGGCATTGATTAAGTTACATGAATTGTTAAGTTAAATACAGTTGGAGATTAAACAGTAATATAGTAACAGTTTGAAGTTAATTCATTGAAATAAGCATTCAATAATACAACCACAAGATCCAGTATATTTCAAAGTACATAAAGTATATGGAAATTACAAGGAGTTAAATATATATTTATATGGTGAGTGGAGATAATTAATAAGGAACATATTAAAATAGTTGGATAACCAAGGCTTAGTAAGAAGATATCGAGTGGTGATAATATCTTTAATTTTGGAAAAACTTTAGGCGTTCAGTGAAAGAAGGTACCAAATTTTGTTAATAATTTAATAATTGTAAGAATTTCAAATTTTAGATAGATTGTTTTAAATTGATATTGCTTATATTAGATAGATAGGTTTGTTTCATAATATTTATAATAAAGATAATTTAAAAAAGTACTTACAAACTAATTCTTTGAGAACCGCGATAAAAACCCTATACTTACATATATCATTCAAATTTACTCATTGCTCATACAACAACAACACATCATAACAATATATATATATATATATATATATATAGTAATTTATATATAGTCATATTTATTTTCCTAATGTTGCACGTACCTACATTTATTTGAAATATTATTTGTAAAGCTTAAATCCCATATTACATTAATTCTTTTATCATATACCTTGCAATAATTAATAACTTTTTTATGTGAGATTACTTCTTGTATATACTTCGGAGATCCATAAAAAGATTATAAAGAAAAATTATAAAGCTACACCAAATGGAGATATAGATATTTTTTATGACGTTCAATGTTTTTTAACATTTTAGAATTTTTATATACAAAGTGAAATTAAAATCAATTATTTAAAATCTTGGGAAAATTCTAAATTAGAAATGCAAGATATTATATTTTCCAAATTAATCGAAGAGAAAACTGAAGTAATTAAAACAATGGAGGCCAAGATAAACCAAGACATTAGAGTACATAAAGAGATTGAAAACGCCATGAGTCAGATTATTCAGGTAAATCTTATCATCATACTTACATTAAAACTGTGTCATATGGCGTTTATACTCTCCCCGTATAACATACTACGTTACTGCATTAAAGTGATAACTTTGATACAGTATGATAGTGTGACCAGCTAGCCCGAAATATCTGGGACATGGCCCGAATTACGAAGTCGTGTCCCGGCGTTCCGGACCAGACTTCCGGGCCATTCGAATTTATACCTTTTTGGTAAAATTCTATTTTGAAATTTTAAATACATAATTCTTCTAAGAATCACATCAAATTGAATAGTTGGAACGAAAAAAAGTCAAAAATTTCTTGAGTGTAATACTAATACCACATCCAAAACGCATGCATGTTATCATGGTATTATGTTATAGGAAAACACAAACTGTGCACTTTTTTTCGTTTCTGTATTTAATTATCCTCTCCCGAAAAGATTATTCAAAAACGATAACGATGTTTCTTTTTTCGGTTTTGTCAACCATTCTAAGTAGGTAAACACACTTCTTGTTTTCATTCGCGCTATATTCTTGAAGAATAAATTATTCATTTCCAAACCATTATGTGCTTTGAACCAAGATCAAATCTGTTGCGTTGCAATATCATTTTATGTAAACATTTATTTTATGTCACTAATCCGTTTGAATCGTTCCTCTGTCCACGGAACGATATATCATTAATGATGTAACAGTTCTTAACAGATTCACAACAGGTAGCGATCACAGGATGGTCAGAGCAAAAATTAGTATTGACGGTAACTATGAGATGAAAAGAAAAATAAGTAGAAACTGCGATCTAGTAGATAGAAACAAACTAGGGCAATATAAAGAGATATACAAAGACCTATTAAAAGAACAACTTACCCAAAGATTAGACAGTGACGATAAAGATATAGACGAAATAGACAACAAACTTACAGCAACAATGATTACATCAGGAAAAGAAATAGCAAAGAAGGATCTAAAAAAGAACAACTATATATCAACAGAAACAAAGAAGTATGTGGATAAAAGAAGGAAGCTGAACGAAGAAGGCAAAAGGAAATCTATAGAATATGTAGAAATTAATAAAACAATAAGCAGAATGATAAAAGAAAATAAGGGAAAAGAACAAGAAATAAAAATAGAAGCAGTAATACAAAACAACAAAAATATGAAATGCTTAAGGCCGAAATTAGGTAAGTTTGAAATAAACAAAATAAAAGATGTAAATGGAATAGAAACAAACGTTAAAGATGACATCATAAATATAATCCACCAGTTCTACTCAGAATTATATAAAACAAAAAAGGAACCACCAGAAGAAATTAAAAACCAACTTAAGGTCAAAATAAAAAATGTCAACTCAGAGCTGCAGCCCGAAATAAGCAAATCAGAAATAAAGAATGCATTGAAAGAAATGAAAAACAACAAATCGCCTGGAAAAGATGGAATAACTGCAAAGATGCTGAAATATGGTGGAAAAGTGGTAATTAATACTCTACATTCCCTTTTTAACAAGATATTAAAAGAAAAAAGAATCCCAAACAACTGGAAGGAATCAGTAACCATTATCCTACACAAGAAAGGGGATAAAGCAGATATAAAAAACTACCGTCCTATAACACTCCTCAATGTAATGTATAAACTCCTAACAAAAATTTTAACCAATAGATTGACGACAGAATTCAAATGATACCAGTCGAAAGAACAAGCTGGTTTAAGAAAGGGATTCAGAACAAGTGACCATTTACTAAGTATGAAAATACTTATAGAACGAGCAAATGAATACCACATTCCTCTATATATGGCGTTCATAGATTTCGAATAGGCTTTCGACAGTGTCGAACATTGGGCAGTGAAAAGTTCTTTGATTAACAGCCGAATTGACCACAGATATACGGAATTAATAACCAATATATATATATATATATATATATATATATATATATATATATATATATATATATATTATATATATCGTCGTCGACACAAGAAAACCGGTTAACTCCAATTTTTACTTAAAATGAGATTTCACTGCCAACTTTTAGCAAATCGCCTATTCTAGCCATCCGACAAATAATACGTCATTTAAATGTATATTTCTAATTTTAAAATGTTTACTAGAAAAGCAGGTATCTCCCTTGTCAAAAAATTATGTTTGTAAAACACGTAACTCCGCGCATTTTCTGTTAAGTCTGTTAAGTGATTATGGCCGTTGATTTGATTTGTTGTTTTGGAGGGATTTGTTGTTTTGGAACATGCTTTTAATAAGTTGTAGACATAGACATGGACAGAAAAGAGAATGTATATCAAAACGTTGTTAGTATTTGAAGCACCAAAACGGAAGAGGGATAGAAAAAATAAAGATGTATCACGGAGGTCTAAGACATTAAAATATTATTTGAAAATTGGAGAAGATAAACGAATGGTATGCAAAAAAATGTTTTTGTCAACTCTGGGCCTTAAAGATTGGTTTGTTATGAATTGCAAACAAGAAGATGATTCTGCTATTACAGAAAATTTGGATAATGAACCACAACAAGCGCCTAAAGGACTTCACAAGAAGGAGTTGGACAATCGTTATACTTTTTTAGATAGCCTGCCGAAAATGGAATCGCATTATTGCAGGAAATCAACTCGTAAATTATATCTAGAACTATTATGGCAAAGCAAATGTCAACTTTACCATATTTACAAAAAGGAATGGTACCTAGAAAAAACGAATCAACAGTCTCTCTTTATCTTCTTTTAAAAACGCTTTCCTGGAAAAGAGGTTGGCTTTGTATAGACTAAAAAAAAAAAAAATTTTGTGTGAAATATGTGTCTTTTTTAAAACAGGAAATTTTGATCAAGAAATATTTAGTGAACATTAGTTGAAAAAACAAGAAGAGAGACTTGAGAAAATTAAAGGTAAAAACAGTGAAAGCATTGTATTGACAATAGATTTACAGGCAGTCCTTATATGTCCTAAGTCCAATGTTTCTTCCCTAAGTTGACATATAAATGATAAAAAAGTTGACAATCCACAATTTCACATTCTATAACTTACATACAAAACAAGGGCATTGTTTTCTTTGGGATAAGTGGGAGGGGAATCTTACCAGTGCCGAAATTGCTAGTGTGATCGTATGTATTTTAGAAAAATATACTAAAGGGAGTTGTCTTGAGGATAACGTACGTGAAATAATTATAACGATGGGTGTACTTACCAAAATCGTAATGTTACTCTAGCTAATGCAATTTTAAACTTTTGTTTAAAGCAGAAGGTAACAGTTATACAAAAATACCTTGAGAAAGGGCACACCCAGATGGAGGCCGACATGATGCACAGTACAATTTAGAGACAATTAAGAGGATGCGATATTAATGTGCCTGGTGATTACATACAAATATGCAAAAGAGCGCGGAAGGAAAATCTATTTGTAGTAGCTCGACTATACCATGATTTTCTTAAGGACTTCAGAGCAGTAAACTATGTAAGCAGTATCCGACTGGGTAAAAAAGGGTGATGCAGTTGTGACAAATATTAGAGCTACAAAATATTCACCACAAGGTATTCATTACAAGTTGGGATTTGGTGAAAATTGGATTGAACTGTGTTGTCGAATAAATCAGAATGTGATACCCAAGAATTTCGCAGATCTGCCGAAGCTTTATACAAATAGAATACCATTAAAAAAAAGACAGATTCGAACATTTTCAGTATTTAAAAAATACGCTTTCGATTACCACTCATTTTATGTCAATCTCCCTCACTAACTTTGTTTTTTTTTAAGTCCTATCGTTGTTGTACTACACTTGTTTTTGTACATATTTATGCGATTTTATTTTAGATTTATTTTAGATTAAAATTTTATTTATTGTTAAAAAGTGAGGCTATTTATTTCTAATGTAGGTAATAAAATAACACTAAATTTTATATTAAACGTTTTTCAAAAGTATTGGTCTGTATTTCATTATTAGGATATTTTTATGTGTTTCAGATATGTTTTTATAAATCGATAACTAATGCTTTTTATTAATTTTTTCCAATCCAGCGTTACAAAAAATGCCACGTAACTCCATAGGCACGTCTCATTCCAAAAGAAGAAAAACCTGTAACTCCATATTTTCTGTATTTTTAGCTATATCTGCTAGATTTTGAAATTAAAATTGATATAATTCAGCTTAATATGACCTAAAAACTTAAAATATAGTTGTTTAATCGTCCTTCTTTATCAAATAAAAGATGTCAGTGAAAATGTTACTGTTTTTAGGCTCTCCTGAAAAATTAAGGAAAATTGAGTTACGAGTTTTTCTTGTGTTGACGACGATATATATATTATATATATATATATATATATATATATATATATATATATATATATATATATATATATAAGGAATACAAGCTTACAGAAATAGAGGTCGACCCCCAACGAGATGGACAGATGACATAAAAAGAGTGACTACAAATTGGATTCAGATGGCGCAAAATCGGACTAAGTGGAAAAGCATGCGAGAGGCCTATGTTCAGCAGTGGACGTTAGAGGCTAGTTGATGATGATGATGATATATAAGGAAGCCAAAACAACAATTAAAGTATATGAAGGAACAAAATCATTACAAATAAGTAGAGGCGTGAGACAGGGTGATACAATTACACAGAAACTTTTCAATCAGGCTCTTGAAAATACTTTTAAAAGATTAGAATGGGAAAAAAAAAGGTATAAAAATTTGTGGACAACGCTTGAACCATCTAAGATATGCTGATGACATCGTATTGATAACCGATAAAAAAGAAGAATTATTTGAAATGATGAAAGAACTGGACGTAGACGTAGAAGCTGGAAAGATAGGCCTTAATATGAATTACAGCAAGACCAAAAATATAACAAATACAGATGAAGACATCACAATGAGAATCGGACAAGATAAAATAGAGCAAGTTAAGGATTATTATAGATCTTGGTCAAACTATAAAACTTAACAAAGAGAACCAACCAGCAGAGATCAAGAGACGAGTTAGACTGGCATGGGCGGCATTT